AATGTAATTTATAACATGAGAAAAAAAAATCATTTAAATACATAAATGTGTAATACTATTATTTATAATTAGCATATAGCTAGAATATAAATGAAAATTGTCGAAGAATTTAAAACGTTTCAACGAACTTATAAGACCTCAGTGGCTTAGGGTTAAGTCCTAGCAGTTACAAAAAACTCTCAAACCCAAAGATGGAGCTATGAGCTAGAAGTATGTACTTGAAAACAAGAGTGAATCCTCAATATCCGCGGCTGTAATGAGACCTCAAATCGGTCAAGAGATGGAGCTATGATCTCAAAGTTTGTACTTGAATAAAAACACACATACACACTCAGAGCCATTCTATGAGCCGCTTTGCCGCGGCTAACAATACACTGTATTAACTACTACAAAAAAATAGTTCATTTCAATACCATTTTCTTTTGGAGGTTGGAGTCGGTCGTAATCTCTAGGGTTTTCCGGAAGAATACCATCTAGGTCTAGATTTTCTTGACTGAAATTAAATTAAAGAGAGAAAATAACGTATTGTGTATTTGTGTTCACCTAAGAATATACAGGTTGAAACTTAACCAATTCCATAATAGTGCTTTATTCTGTTCTTAACCCTTGCATTTTAACACAGAAGTGCGTATTTTTGAAGATAAAGATGATTATATCCGGTGTATGAAAGTGTAAGAGAGCACGTACTTTCGAAATGGGTAGTTGGTCGAAATCAAGGCTATAAAAACTGGGCATATGTATTGCTGTTTTACACACAGATACACGCTCGTATATAAAGAGATCAATAAGACATTACACTTATCTTAACATTTTTATTATCACTAGTAATCGAAGAAGTAGTGATTTTACAGATATAACTGGAATTTCAGACCCCGAATATTTTGTAGTTTGAGAAATGCAATTATTCAACAAAGTCACATTCGCTTAATGCTCTATAGTGCATTGTTACTAACTGAATGATTTGGGTTTTGTTTTTGTATTACGTGTATGTGAATAATATTTTGGACTCTACGTTCGGTATTGATATTTTCAGCTTGACGTTCCTTTGTGTGTGAATGATATTTGGAATTTTAGACTACGTTCGGTGTTAATATTTCAGCTTGTTGTGTGTGAATGATATTTGGGATTAAAGACTACGTTCGGTGTTAATATTTCAGCTTGACGTTCCTTTGTGTGTGAATGATATTCGGAATTCTAGACTACGTTCGGTGTTAATATTTCAGCTTGATGTGTGTGAATGATATTTGGGATTCTAGACTACGTTCGGTGTTGATATTTCAGCTTGACGTTCCTTTGTGTGTGAATGATATTTGTAATTCTAGACTACGTTCGGTGTTGATATTTCAGCTTGACGTTCCTTTGTGTGTGAATGATATTCGGGATTCTAGACTACGTTCGGTGTTAATATTTCAGCTTGATGTGTGTGTGAATGATATTTGAAAGAATATCGTTGTAATACTTATGCGTCACTTACTTAATATTTTGTACACAGTTACAGTTGTTGTTTGTGCATTTGACAATATAAATAGAACCTAGACCATTACAATGTATTTCTTATTCCAGCCGACCTGATGAGTTATGGTATTGGGCGAAAGGCCTCGTTGGCACGTGGATATAGCAGATGTAATGTGGTTCACATATTATTGTCATATATTCATCTTTGTTTTCTCTCATAATGTGCCTAGAATCTCTTTCCAGTGCTTCAATGATCAGATAAACTTTTTCTTCAATAGAGCATTTTACAAGCCATTATGCCTTTTTTTAATATCATTTTACTATTATGCTTGCTTGAAAAGGAGCTAGCTAGCTCGTGCACCCTATATTAGTCATACTCCAAAGTTTATTGACTAGTAAAACCAGAGTGTTATGATGTATACGCCTTTTACGAGCTAGCGAAGCACGATAATATTTGTCAAACAGCTTTTATAAATATTGTTTCGACAGCTACTGTGTTCATTGTTTCCCAGTCGACCTGAAGAGCTCTGGATTGAGCGAAACTCATGGTTGGAAATGGAGATGACAAACATAGTATGGTTGAAATACTGTTATTATACACTCTTCTAATTTTTGGAAATCCCCAAGAAACTGGATAAAAATAATTTAGTGTTTAAAGATGTAACAGGTTTAATACTAATGTCTTATTACATTGTATCCAAACCAACCCGATGAGCTCTGGTCTGAGCAGAACGCATCGTTGACAATGGATTATGGTGAACATAGTGTGGCTAGAATACTATTATTATACACTCTTCTAAGTCTTGAAAATCCTTAATGGGCTAGATAAAGAATGTGTGTTTAAATTGAAAATGTAATAGGCCTAATACTAATGTTTCATGACACGTTTAAAAGTACAGTGTTACGAATTAGTCAATATGTAATTAGAGCGTTACAAACTAGTCAATATGTAATGAGAGCGTTACAAACTAGTCAATATGTAATTAGAGCGTTACAAACTAGTCAATATGTAATTAGAGCGTTACAAACTAGTCAATATGTAATTAGAGCGTTACAAACTAGTCAATATGTAATTAGAGTGTTACAAACTAGTCAATATGTAATTAGAGCGTTACAAACTAGTCAATATGTAATTAGAGCGTTACAAACTAGTCAATATGTAATTAGAGCGTTACAAACAAGTCAATATGTAATTAGAGCGTCACAAACTAGTCAATATGTAATTAGAGCGTTACAAACAAGTCAATATGTAATTAGAGCGTTACAAACTAGTCAATATGTAATTAGAGCGTTACAAACTGGTCAATATGTAATTAGAGCGTTACAAACTAGTCAATATGTAATTAGAGCGTTACAAACTAGTCAATATGTAATTAGAGTGTTACAAACTAGTCAATATGTAATTAGAGCGTTACAAACTAGTCAATATGTAATCTATATTTAGCACTATGAGCCTTTACTTTCAGGAATAATGTTATAGTGGGAATGACTTACATGTGAGATATTAGCCCTTATTTCATTATTGACTAGCCATGGACATAAATTTTCTTGTATCATTAGAAGTTCCAAGTTGATTTGTTTGCTTTTTAATGGTAGTTAGAGTTAGAGACAGAGGCTTAAATTTACCCTAATGGTAAATTAGTTCTAACAACTATTTCTTTGGAAATGGTACCGCATGTAAAGTAAGGTAGATACGAAAAATGAATAGTTTTTTAAACTTATTTTGTGAATAAGTTCAAAGCTAGTAAAAGCTGAGTTTCTTATACATTATTATTATTATTTCTGTATTGCATTACTCCACGTGTTGTTGTTTTTAGAATTGCATTGTTTTTGTAACTAATGCTTTCGAATATTAGTGTGAAATAAACCATTATTTGCTTTTTGTGTAACATTACCATTTCCAAGTTAAATAATAATCCAATAGGCGCTTTATAGTTTTTGTCGAAATTATTTTAAACGTAATATTTGTGCTTTGCCAGTAGGCTTAGTTATGGTAAGAAACACGAGAGTCAAATGTGGGGTAAAATACTACAATAAATTGGAGGCATTTCGTATTCTTCTCTGAAATAAAAGTTCAGGAATAAGAAGAATACATTAATCTATTCTCTTGATTCAATTTGTCAAGTAAAACTATTCTAAAACATTATTAATTCACGATTCATACCTTTTACCTGATAGAATACACACATTAAGCAACATGATGGATATTACTCTAGGTTCTTTCATTTTGAAAGTAGGTACTTCCAGGACCTTATCTGAAAAACAAAAACAAAATCTATAATCTATGGTTAAACTTTTAGCACATAAAGATTTTTTTTTTACAAAACTAATACTACCTATTAAGAGTAAAAACGCAAAATCTGATGCTGTTTTTTTTGTTTTTTTTGGCACAATGAAAACTAAAATCATTATTATTGGTTATATCCAACTAGTTGTAGTAACACAGTTACCATCGTCAGGACTAGTGTCTACAGTGTTAGTTTAGCCTCGCTAGGACTAGTGTATACAGTGTTAGTTTAGCCTCGCTAGGGCTAGTGTCTACAGTGTTACTACAGCCTCGCTAGGTCTAGTGTCTACAGTGTTAGTTTAGCCTCGCTAGGGCGAGTGTCCACAGTGTTAGATTAGCCTCGCTAGGGCTACTGTCTACAGTGTTAGTTTAGTCTCGCTAGGGCTAGTGTATACAGTGTTAGTTTAGACTCGCTAGGGCTAGTGTCTACAGTGTTACTACAGCCTCGCTAGGTCTAGTGTCTACAGTGTTAGTTTAGCCTCGCTAGGGCGAATGTCCACAGTGTTAGATTAGCCTCGCTAGGGCTACTGTCTACAGTGTTAGTTTAGCCTCACTAGAGCTACTGTCTACAGTGTTAGTTTAGCCTCACTAGGGCTAGTGTCTAACTAAGACTATAGACATTATATCTAATGATGGTAACTGCGTTACCAAAATTGGTCGGCTATAACCAATAACAAAGATTTTATGATGCGACGGTCAATCCCACTATTCGGTGGTGAAAGAGTAGCCCAAGTGTTAGCGATGGGTGGTGATGACTAGCTGCCTTCCCTCTAATCTTACACTAAATTAGGGATGGCTAGCGCAGATAGCCCTCGTGTAGCTTTGCGTGAAATTCAAAATACAAACAAACAAACTTTATCCAACCAATTAGAAAGAGGCTCACCTTTACACATCTTGTAATTACGTCCTCTGCATAAGAGCTTTGAACTTTGTCGTAAAACACCAAAGCCATTTTCGATGTTAATGTAATTTTACGTCATGTTCCGTTTGCCTTTCGCATCAATTTTGCTTAAGCCAATTAGCGGAGAGTACATTCATATCTGACATAAGCCATTAGAAAATGACAGTAAAACCTTTTAAACTGGCACTAAAAATCTCGGTGCCTCTACAGTTCACCCTAATCTGGAAAAATGTCACAGAAAGTCTAAGAGTAACTGAAATTATTACAAAGTTTGTTACAAAAGTCCACTCGCTAATCTCTTAGTGTTCGATGTTAAGATGTTACTTTAAAAATATGTTAGGCTTAGAAAGTTTGATAAACTACCGATTTAGAATGTGACTGTGATATACAAATGTTCCTACAATCATATTGTTTGTTTGGTTTTCGTTGGTTTGGAATTAAGCACAAAGCTACACTATGAGCTATCTGTGCTCTGCCCACCACGGGTATCGAAACCCGGTTTCTAGCGTTGTAATTCCGCAGACATACAACCATATTACAGAAGGTTAAGAGTCTATAACATACGCATACACAAAGATAAATTAAAAAGAAAATCAAACACGTTTAATTTATATTGATGCTTATGTGCATTTACGGACATGTCTACATTTCTAAAGCTTCCACAGAAAAATTGACGTCGCATAATTCGTCACAATATAATCGAAAAGTCCAAGGTTCGAGCACGCTGTATGTCACTGGACGCGGGCTGTACTTTCCGGTTGGACACGCAACGAACGTATCGTTCATTCCCACCGTCACGAGTAGCCATTAGGGGACGGGTGTTGCTGACTGGTTGGCCTCTCTCTGGTCAGCAAATTGAAGTTATAGAAACCAGATGCACGTTTTATTATCCAATTCACGATTGTCTGATGCGCTTTAAGTTGTAGGTTAAAATATAGTTGACTACTTTATATCTAACCTAGATCTGTTGCCTTTAACATCCACCACCCCCCTCAGTGGCACAGCGGTATGTTTGCAGATTTATACCGCTAGAAATCGGGTTTCGATACCCGTGGTGGGCAGAGCATAGTTAGCCTTTTGTGTATCTTTGTGCATATTAACAAACGACAACAACAATCTGTTGTCTCTATTGTATCATGGCTAAAAAACAAGCTTATCTTTAGCTTATTTAAGTGTTTCAAAAACAATGTTTTAAATGTTAATTGAGTGACGTTAATGAGTTATGACACCCTTAACCATTTAGGCGCGCCCTGTCGCCGTGGTGGTTCCTTTGATTGGTCTTTTGGTAGACCTGGGAGGGTCGTGGTGGTTCCTCTGATTGGTCTTTTGGTAGACCTGGGCGGGTCGTGGTAGTTCCTCTGATTGGTCTTTTGGTAGACCTGGGAGGGTCGTGGTGGTTCCTCTGATTGGTCTTTTGGTAGACCTGGGAGGGTCGTGGTGGTTCCTCTGATTGGTCTTTGGTAGACCTGGGAGGGTCGTGGTGGTTCCTCTGATTGGTCGTTTGGTAGACCTGGGAGGGTCAGGTTCACTCTTTCAGTCCTTGCACTATTCAAACTTATTACCGTCGAATATTTGTCCTATTATGACATGGGGATCAGAGGTTATCCAATTTGCACTTACCCTGACCCCTGTTAGATCATGTCTGGTCATGTCTGGTAATCAAAGAAATATTCGAACTGGAAAATACTCTTTTCTTATTTCGTTTTGTGCAAAGTCATACAAATCACGAACAGTTCAGTTATATTTTAACATATTTTTTGTTAATTTAGTTACCCTTGAGAGCATTGTTACATAAAATACCATTTTTATGGTCTCCTAATTAACAAAGTAATGATGAGTTGTAATCATAGCGATAGTTACCCTTGGGAGTGTTGTTACATAAAATACCAATTTTTATGGTCTCCTAATTAACAAAGTAATGATGAGTTGTAATCATAGCGATAGTTACCCTTGAGAGTGTTGTTACATAAAATACCTTTTTCATGCTCTCCTAATTAATAAAGTAATGATGAGTTGTAATCCTAGCGATAGTTACCCTTGAGGGCGTTGTTACATAAAATACTTTTTTATGCTCTCCTAATTAACAAAGTAATGATGAGTTGTAATCCTAGCGATAGTTACC